TGCGCCCTTTGCCCTTCAGCAGGATCCTTGGATTATTCTCTCCCTCCTCCCCCATCATCCTGCAACAGCCTGCCTTATCAGTTGTGAGTTTATAGGCAAAGCAATTCCCCAAACAAATGGATATCAATATTAGAAGCCAAACTGCTTTCTGTTGGGCAAGTCCCGGCTCCCACCACCTTCCCGTGCATTAAAGAACGAGTGCTCTGGCCTCCCTACCTGCAGGACGTCGTAAAGGTCCTGGCAGATGATGGCCATGTAATCCGTCCTCTGAAACAGCCGTTTTCGGTCAAACTCCCACCGGGCTTCTCTCCCCGAGGCCTCGATTTTGGCCCTGGTGTCAAAATAGGCCTTTTTCCACATGGTGAGGGTGTTCTTGGCCTCCAAGGTTTTGTGCTGGGCACTCGCTCGGTTTTCCCTGTGAAGCAGAGATTGGGTGATGGGAGGGAACGGGGAGCTGGGTGGGTCTGCGCCACGGTCCCCAGGGGAGCAGGGCCCTAAGGGGAGAAATCTCGTGGAGGAGCAGGGCCTGCCTGGTTTCACGGCCTCACCACGAGGAGCTTACACAGCAAGCTGCTGCTCCATCCATTTGCAAGGGCACAGCCGGAATTCCAAGCCGCAGCCCGGGCTGACCTTCGAGGCAGCTGCCCGCCCAGTGTGCAAAGCTGAGGCTCACCCTGAAAGCTTCCTCTGTGAACGTGAAGGGGGTCAGGTGGCCTTGGGGCCCGGGCCAGGAGTCAACAGTGGGGGCTGCGACACCGGGGCAAAATGATAATACCAAGATTTTGATACTTTTGTCACCTATAGAGACTTTTTTTTTTTTAATTAAAGTGATAAAAGGTCTGTGTCTCCTTCAACATTTGATCCTTAGAGGCTGTTCCCCCTGAGGGGGTCTGGGGTCCAGGACTGAGGATCCTCTGACCCTGTGCCTCGGTCTCTCCAGGGATGACTAAGGAGGAAGGTTCTGGTTAAAATGACACCTGCCTATGCACACGATGGAGTACTATGTGGCCATAAAAAGGGACGAAGCACTGACACTCAGTAAGAGCCTTAGATACATGATGCTGAAAGAAGCCAGACACAAAAGGCCACGTGTTGTTAGGATTCCATTTGTATGAATGTTCAGAACAGGGAAATCCACAGACACAGAAAGCAGATGAATGGTTGCCCAGGACTAGGAAAGCTGGGGTGGGGGGAAGTGGGGGTACAGCTAAAGGGCACAAGGTCTCTTTTTGAGATGAAGACAGTATCTCAAAATCGGTCACGGCGATGGATGCCCAACTCTGTGAACACACTAAAAAACACGGAATTGTACGTTTTAAACGGGGGAACTGTACGCGGTGTGAATCGTGTTTCAATAAAGCCGTCTAAGATCTTAAGAGGGGAAGAGCGTCAGTTGCTTCTTACCTGAACAAGGTCCGCAGGTTCACCACTCTGCAGACCCGCTCGGCGATCTCCCAGGCGATGCGCTCCATGAGCGGGATCATCCTCTCGTCTTTGTTGTAGTGTCGCGAGATGATCCACACCATCCTCAGCGCGCTCATCATGGAGGGGATGGTCTCCAGGACAACGTGGAAGCTAGATCCGTGTGTTATGTTCTAACCGGAGACATGTGCCAGAGGGGGAGGAGGGAGAGGGGAGAAGGGAGGGGGGAGAGGGAAGAGAGATTGAGATTAAAGCAACCTTAACTCTGGGCTCAAAGAGTTTTTTGTTGTTGTTTTTTCAGATTCCATTCTTTATTGGTTATAGTTCTGCTCACCTGGCTCCATACCTCTGGCTCCCAGCCCATTCTTTTTTTTTTTTTTATTGTGAAATACATGTTTTTTAGAATTAGTTTCAGCTGTACAACACAGTGCAATAGTTATACTTTTTACCCCTCGAGGTGACAATCTCTCTCCCTCAATCGCTGCCCCACTTCCCCCCAATATCATACATATCTATTACAAAACCCTTGACTCCACTCCCACACTATACTCCACGTCCCATGACTATATATATATAGTCACTTATAGTTGACATACAATATTATACAACATCAGCTTCAGGTGTACAGTGCAGTCAAAGAGTTTTAGTAAAGCAATAGTGTGCAGGAAATTTCAGTCTTCTTAATACCAAAAAAAAAAAAGGTACTTATTATAAAGAAAGTGTTTAACAAACAAAAGAAGTTTGAAATAGGTCTGTATGCACTGTCATGGAAAAACAGACAAAATTTACAATTAAAGCAAAAAAAAGCAATTTGCAGAAGTGCATGTAAAGTATGTGTGTACACATAATATATGCATATATAAATGTACTATATTTAGTGGCAAGAATGCCCTAAATGAATCGGAGCTGCTGCTCTCAAAGTGACCTTAGCTACTGTTTTCCAGGGTGTGTATCCCGGCAGGATGTGAAATGATTTTGAAAGCATTCAGAACTTTTAAAAAGATATACTTCTTTTAATGTATATTAGAAAAACCTATATAACTGGTATATCAAACCCATGATAGCATAGGTATTATTGTTTTAAGATGAGGCTAAATTACACACACACACACACACACACACACACACACACACACACACACCCCACTTAAAGAAAAGTAAGATACTGGTGTACGCAGGGATGGCAAACATCACAGAAGTGGTACGTGAGTGATGGAAGCTTCGCTCCCACTCACCTTTACAAACACTCATTCTGCAGAGAAGATAAACAAGCCAGAGAAGGAGACGCTGCTGTCACTAACATCAGCGTGGTGGCTCAAGCCCTCGGACTCGCTCAGCTGTTGCATCGCTTACACAGGACCACACGTGTGTCTGCGTATGTGTGTGCACGTGTGTATTCACACTTGTACACGTGTACAGCTGTACTCGCCTCAGTTGCTTTCCTGCTACTGCTCCTGACATGCTAAGTCCTCTGCATGCATCAGCTCATTCGAAACTTCCGGCAACTGCATAAAGTAAGTTTTCTCCTTGTGCCTATTCTCCAGAGAGGAGGCAGGCTGACGGGCTGCATGCGCAGATCTGGGGTGGACACTCCAGGGCCCAGGCCTGTTCCAATACATACACAGTGCTCCACACACACACAGCATCCTCTCAGCCACACAAACAGGACTTTTACCGGCCTTCTTGGGACAAGAATGATGATTCCTGGCCTCGGAATATTGGGTGTGATAAATTCAGAGGGGAAAGAAACCCAAAACAGAAAATTACACTCGTGGGACTATAAAATGGTACAGTCACTAGTGAAAACAGTCTGTGACACCTCAAACAATTAAACACAGACTTACCAGAGGACCCAGTAACTCTACTCCTAGGAATATATCCAAAATAATTGAAAGCAAGATTCAAACAGATTGTACACCCATGTTCACGATGGCGTGATGCATCATAGCCAACAGGTGGAAATGACCCGTGACCATCAAGAGATGATGGATAAACAAAATGTGGCCTATACATACAATGGAGCATTACTGAGCCTTAAAAAGCAATGAAATTCTGACACATGCTACAACATGAATGAACCTTGAAAACATGATACTAGGTGAAATAAACCAAATATTGTATGATCGCACTCATATAAAATACCCAGAGTAGGCAAGGCATAGAGGCAGAAATCAGAATAGATGTTACCAGGGACTGGGGGGGAGAGGGGGAGTTATTGTTTAAGGGGTACAGTCGGTTGGGGATGATGGGTGGGTTTTGGATACAGATAGTGATGATGGGTACACAGCATGTGTACGTATTTAATACCACTGAACTATACGCTTACAAGTGGCTAAAATCATAAATATTATGTTATATATATATATATATATATATATATATATATATTACCACAATTTTTTAAGTGCTGAATAAACAAAAGGAAAATAAACCCGTGTGAGGTCTAATCTACAGAGTTGACGTTCCAAGGTGCAGTGCGCCCAGCATACCTTGAAATGACGTTCCACGGTGGAGAGAAACCGCACATTGTCAGAGGCCTCCATGTGGAATTTGAATAACTCAGTTAAGACGGGCTGCAGGTTAGCCACAAGCATAGAATCAGATTCCTTGATCACATCCAAGACTTTTCTGACTACTGGAAGCTTTGTTTGTTCATGGAGTGCACTCAGAGTTGCATTTCTTTCCCTCCAGAATTCAATTTCGGCCAGAGGACCATTACCCTGAGGGGTGACACGCACACACAAACAACTGTCACCATTATTATGAAGTGGACACTTATGGCTGTTTCTCTAGCATCCAGTCCTCTCTTCCCAAATGCCCCATTTGGGGCCAGTCTGCACAAGGACTTCAGGGGTGGACACTTGACCCAGGATCAGAGTGAACCTCAGGTGTGAACCTCAGGCCTTCAGCTGGGAGTGCTAGACAAGGACACTTTTGTCTTTCTCTGGACAATGTGGGGATGTGGGGCCAGAAACTGCTACAAGTTGCTACCATGAAGGAAGCCAGCCTGAAGAGGAAGCTCCCCCCATCCCCACCAGAGAGAAAAGGATGAAACAGAGAGATTCACAGAGAAACACAGCCGGGTCTTGATCAAACTGTACCTGAACCCAGCCATGCCTCTGGACTTTTCAGTTATATGAGCCAACAGGTTCCTCCTTATTTACCCGGTGAGTTGGGGTTCTTGTTTTGGGGCAGCCTAAGCATCCTGACTGACACACAGTATTATCTTTATCCACTCAGAAAGTAATCTGGTAGCACTCTAACATCAGAAAGCCCAAGAAGGAAACCTTCGGTATGTTAATTTTTATCTTTTAAGGAGGTCACAAAACAGTAAGAAAAGAGGCTAGACCACACAGATCCGCAGACTCCTGTCTCTTGCTCGGGGAGGCGAGCGTGAAATGTATCAGGGATCTTCGGAAATAGTGCACAAGTTACCTGAGGTGTCTTTTTCAGCTGGTCCTCAACAGCCGTGGATATCTGATTCAGCCAGTTGATCACACATTGCTCCAAGATTTCCACAGTTTCCGGGTCAGCTGCGAGCTCAGACACCTCTCCCTCCACACTGATGCTTGGCAATTCTAACTTGATCTCGCCTAGTGGAATAAAATGGCTCAGTCGACCACCAGTTTGGGGGAAAATGACGACATACAATAATATTCAAGCTAGTCAGCTGGCTCTTCTCTCCACACATCAGTATGATAAGGTCTGATACATCCCCTGTCCCAATCCGTCTGTATCTCATTCTCTCTCCTTAGACTATAGCTAAAACATTTTAGAGAATTAGATCATTGTTCCAGTGTTAAGCGCGATCAAAATGATTTAGTTATTTAAGATGTTCCTGAATTTACAAACTAGTGACTTCCACTTAAAAATTGAACAACTAACCAGAACAACTCAACAGATATTTGAAAAAAACCTCCAACATGAGACACAGTCCAAGATAAATCGGAAACAGTGACCTCAGAGGACATTGAGATAATGTTAAAAAAAAAAAAAAGAAAGAAAGAAAACAATGTTTTAAATCCCAACTATTGTCTCAGAGATTTGAGACAATATGTCTGTCATCCATCAAACAAGAGCAGGATGCTATGCAAAAGGTACAAATCAGAGTAAGAGATGTTAAAATTAAAAATATGATAGCTAATGCAAAAAATTCAATCAAAGGTTGGGAAGATAAAAGTTGAGGAGCTCTTCAGGAAAATAGAATACAAACAGAGAGAGACAGGAAATACAAGGAAAAAAGTCAGACACAGAATCAACAGCATTCATCCAACAGGAACGTTACCGAGAGAGCAGAGACCAATAGTGACAGATTACCAGGAAAATGTTTCACACTGAAAGTCTAGGTCTTCCGACTGAAAATACAGAGTGCATAGCAAAATGACTCATACACAGGCCCATCATCATGACATTTCAAAACACTAGGGATAAAGAGATGATCCTAAAATTTTATATAAAGAGGAACTGGAAAGGAAGAGCATCGAATCTCTCACCAGGAACACTGAATGCTGGAAAACAATGAAGAAAACGGTATCCAAAATTCTGTGCTGAAAATTTCAACTTAGACTTCCACGCCCTGACAAATTATTGACTAACTGTGAAGATAAAATAACGTCATTTTCAGACGTGCAAGCTCTCATAAAATCATTTCCTGCACACCTTTTCTTAGGAAGTTACTTCAGGACGTATTCCTGCACAATGAGGGAGTAAAACCAAACTACGGAAAAAGGAAACACTGCTCTTCCAGCCTCTTTGGTCTTGGCTGCAGGCAAGCGATGACAAAGGGAACGTCATCATTTGGAAAGCGTTGCAATAAAGACGCGCACGGTATGCCGCAGCTGTGGCTCTAAGGCCTACCACCTTCAGAAGTCTACCTGTGGCAAATGTGGCTACTGCCAAGCAGAAGAAAAAGTATAACTGAAGTGCTAAAGCTAAAAGACAAAATACGACCAGGACTAGTCGAATGAGGCACCTAAAAATTGTATACCGCAGGTTCAGGCATGGATTCTGTGAAGGAACAACACCTAACCCCAAGCGGGCAGCTATCGCAGGACCCAGTTCCTATTAAGGGTTGCAACGATTAGTTGCACAATAAACTTTTTTATTTTAATATTAAAAAAAAGAGAAGAAAAAGGAAACAATGCATCTGCGATGACAGCTGTGCAACATGCTGAGACAGCAGCAGCCCACATGGCAACAAGGGTCACGGGACAGCGGCAAGGAGGGCACCGAATAAAATGAGGGTTTTTGTAAAAACAAAGAGGGCTGTACAAGATATTCTTATACACTGTTTTAAGGAAAAGATGGCAATTGGGAATGTTGGAGGTGGAAGGGAAAGGCTGTACAAGAAAGGAAAGATTAAATATATGGTGATGGAAACAGAACTGACTCTGGGTGGTGAACACACAATGTGACATATAGATGACATATTACAGAATCGTACACCTGAAACCTATGTAACTTTACTAACCATTGTCACCCCAATAAAATTTAATTTAAAAAAAAGAAAGATTATCGAAGTACACGACTCTGATGTGCAGTAAACAATATTCCCATAGTCGTAATAATATAAAATACGGTTTACTATTTAATAAGAAGAAATAAAGCAACTATGAAGGATGCCATGCCCAAGGCCAGAAATTCAGATAAACTGTTCCTTGTCATGCCAGGAAATAATACTAACGTCTACAGTTAAGCAGAAACAGCAGTGTCAGCACATACTTTGGAGATACAGCAGTAACTATCAACAGAAACAGCTAAAGAATTAAAGAAATCGCCACGAGGAAGCAGAACTGATGGACAGGGAAAATGACGCAGGGTCAGTTTTTCAACTCATTCGCATCTGTTAGCACTATTTAATTTTGTTAAAACTTATGTACGTATTACTTTAAGAAACTATAATATGTACATATTTATTAACATATTTAACGTAAGCATATTAATTAATATGTTAATTAGCTATAAGCTATAAGTATACTCATATATTAAAAACTCACTCTGTGACAGAATACCTGACATTTATGATCTCATGCTTTTTCTTAAAGAAAAGGGTAAAAGAGTATTCAATTGACAGCCAATAGCTTACCAAAAGCTATTTGTAAATGTCCTATAAATAAAAACAAATTTCTTCCCTGAAATGATATTATACAATAGGGTTTTGCAAACACTCTCTTAAAGCTCCAGGCAGTTAATATTTTAAGCTTTGCAGGCCAAGAAACAAAATTGAAGATAGAATGTAGGTCCTTACAGAGCCGTTTAAAAATCTAACCATTTAAAACCGTAAATGCTATTCTTAACCCACGGGCCACACAAAAACAGGCATCGGGTTGGATGTTGACCCATTATAGAATATAAAAATTCATCGCTTCTCGGCCTTTTGGCTAAGATCAAGTGTAGCATATAAATTCATCTGCTTTTCTGGTGTTTCAAATAGTATGTGCTTGTTGTAGAAAAATTAAAAAATAAAAATAAAAACCATCTTATTTTCATAGCCTAGTCAGTGATAATCACCAATAACATTTTAGTGCATTTCCTGCCAGTATTTTATGTAAAAAACATATGTCCACTCATCTACTTTTACATCAAAAACAAGACACATAAAGCATATGTAAGCTTACAAGAAATAATTTTTCACATTTCTGATATTTTATACCAACTCAAGGAGAGTGCGAAAAGGGGTAGACAGACACAAAGAGAAACGCGCAAGACAGTGAAGGAGATAGAGAGGGGTGCCAAGGGAGAAACTGCACTTCTGGGCGTTAAAAAAAAGAAAACACTCTAAAATAGAAGCCTGTAAAAGCATCTCCTTAGCAAGTCTGGACCTCTACAAGTATTGCTAGTCTTCTCATTTCCAACAGAGAAAATTCCTACAAAGTGAGGTGTGTTAAATTTGACTTTAAAGGGGGAAAAAGTTAATTCTCCTAGAATAGCAGCGCCATCCTACGGACCCTAACAGCCCTCGCAGATAAGCGCTCTGCCAGCTTTTCACAATGTGGAACTCTAAAAATAGGTATAACCACCAAATGGGACTCATGACCCTCACTAAGCCAGCCTCTAGACCTCCCTGTTCTCCACTCATGACACACACTCTCCTATCCACCCAGGCTCTGGGAATCCTGCCTGCCACCCACCCCATCCAGTGAAGGGCAGAACAGCTCCGCCCAACAGTGGCTGCTGCCGGCCCCCCCATGTGTGGGGCCCTGAGTTGTGGACACAAGGATAACTAAGCTAGAACCCAGCTCTCAATCTCTTCTTGTTCACAGAAACCCCACTCCATTCACTTCTTCAGGCCATTCTCCCTGCCTGAAATGTGCTTGCTCACCAACTCTACCTACTAAAGTTTAAAGCCTTGCTTGTCATTTCAGATAAGGTCAAATGCCGCCTCCTTCAGGAAGTCTCCTTTGATTTCCCCACCACCACCAATTCTCCAACATGGTCGCCTTCTTCCAAACCCTATCAGCCCCAATATCTTTCTCAAGCTCCTTAATTCTGCCATAGTTCTTTCGCATCAGATTATAAGACCCCTGAGAACAAGCATTCGTCATTTCTCTTTGTGTCTCTTACAATGACCAGTTCAGTGTCTTTCATATTGGGAGCAGGTAAATAAGAATGATCGTAAATTAAAACAAAAAAGCTCCCGGACTCTTAAATTGTCTTCTTAAAGTAGATGCACCATGCTTAACTAAAGAGGGGAAGAATGAAGCCTTACCTTCAAGTTGTTGCATTGTTCTTTGAATATTACTTGCAAATTTCTGGATGTTCATTAAAAATTCATCCCGTATTAACTGAATGCTATGATATTCTACTGCTTCCCCAGGCAAGTTAGGTAGGTGGTCCATTGCAAGGTCAAAAGAGCCAGAGACTTCTCCGGGTGTGAATGCCGTGGCTGCATCCTTGTGCTGATTAAAGGACAAAGCTGGCAAGAAAACCTGAAATGCCAAGTTTATGAAACAAATCACACAATGTCATGTTCAATAATTCATGCACTTAACTTACTTCTGGCTTTGAATATTTTATAATGGGAGGTACAACTATAATGACAGCGCCTGGAACGTAAGAGCTGCTGACTACCTATTTGTGGAATAAGTGCATCAAGTGGCTTTAATCCTAAAAACGCTGTGATTTCTCCCTGTGTCCATACTTACCTGACATATCATACCCTTCAGAAAATGAAGCACATTCGCATTTATAATCCCGTACTCCAGTGTTTCGGGCATAATTTCCATCGCTTCCTTCATGTCGCTGGCTTCCGAGATGGTTTCTACGTGGGACAGATTCAGAGGGTAAGATGGGTGGGGAAGTGGCAAATGGTTAACATTTCCAAGTGGACAGGCCTCAGCTCCTTCCTCCCGAGTAGCTACAAAGGAACGTTTCAGCCACAGACTCGGAATACATGCTAATTCCTATTCAAACGAATCCCGGGACCTGGAAGAAGCTGAAATAAACACAGACACACTGCGGTTCCCAGGTTCGCACGAGCAGCGCCCAAGAACTACACATAGAAGCCGACCTGGTGGGAATGTCTGCAGCTGTCAAGGATAGAAACAATTTGGGTCTCCCAGAAACATTTGCGGGGCTCCTCGCTTTGCCTGGCTTCCCTTCCCCAGCAAAGCCTACCCCCAGCGCTGTTCCCATCCCCCCAATTGCCCAATAAAAATCTTTAAAAAGAAAAAAAAAAGTTATATTCTCCAGGCAGCCAATTAGCTCAGATGGTTAAGAGTGCAGGCTCATAACACCAAGGTTGCAGGTTCGATTCCCACATGGGCCGGTGAACTGTGTCCTCCACAACTAGATTGAAGACAACAACTTGACTTGGAGCTGATGGGTCCTGGAAAAACACACTGTTCCCCAATAAAGTTAAAAAAAAAAAGTTATACTCTCAAGAAAATATAAAAATTAAAAATCTGGCCTTGACCCACCTTTTCTTTGTACTCGGCCCGCTCCTAATTCTTTGAAGTGTACTATCTCTTCTAATAAACTTTTTCACCACTTAAAAAAAGAATTGCATACATCTACACAGGCCTGTGTGTGCACACACACACACACACACACACACACACAGAGGAAACATACCTTTCGTATTTCTGAGAAAAAACACCACATTCTGGTCCAGAAACTGCTCAGGGACAGGAGTACAAAGCACGTGGAGCTGCATCTTGTCCACGATGCGCTTAACCATTTTCTGAAACGTGGGGAACAAAACCCGTCACACTGAGACATATCCATTCACCCAAACAGCATGATGTTCAGGTACACCGCGCTCTCCTCACAATGGAGGCTGATCTCACGTCCTGACAACGCAGCCGCAGCTGTACAGCGGGTGCCAGCGGGTCACACACGTGAGCTAAAATGCACCCAGCCTCTGAATGCTAAGCCTAACTCTGTTAACCGCCCAACGCAGCCACACTTGAATATACTGACCTAGAGGAAGACAAGAGCAAGCTTTATCTAGGCTACAATTGCAGCAAACCAGGCTTGAATTTGGTTTGGGGGCTGGCCATAGCCACAAAGCAGTTAAGTGTAATTTCACTGAACACAGACCAGGCTGAAAGCTCGCATCCTAGCTTTGAGGTCCGCCCCTGGGGTTTGTGCAGGAAAGGGTTAACTCAGCAGGCCCGGGTTGTCCAAACCCTGTATGTTCCAAAGTTTTCCAAACTGGCCCTGAACCAGCCGCTGGGTGATACCCTCTAAGTTTCTGGAATATCCTGTCTGATCTGAGTGCCTCTCTACACCTGGGGACTTTGGTTGCTCAAGCCGAATAGTTTGCACTACCAAAGTGATTTATGGTGAATGGCTGTATGTGTTTGCCTGGGGCCCTGGGCCACACTGTATCAGTCTGACCTCTGGGGGCGCTGGGGACTGAGCAGCTAAGGTCAGGCATGTGGGCACTTCATGCCTGTGTGACTGGCACCCAATATAAACCCTGGACACCAAGGCTCAGGTGAACTTCCCTGACTGACAGAACTTCATACGCGTTGTCACACGTAGCTGCCGGAAGAATTAGCGCTGTCCGTGTCCCCACCCCACTGGGAGAGGACAACGGGAAGCTGGCGCCTGTTTTCTGCTGGTCTCTGCCCTACGTGCCTTTTTCTCTGTTGATTCTAATCTGCATCCTTTTACTGAAATAAACTATAACCACCGGTATAAAAGCTTTTCTGGGTCCTGTGAGTCATTCCAGCGAATCATTCAACCTGAGGGTGGTCTCAGGGACTCCCAACACAGGATTCTACCAACTCCATTCCAATAGGGCACGTTCCTTGTATGAACTGTCAGTTACCCAGGCTCATCAGAAGGCACAAAATTCCAATTACCACCCCCACCCCCACCCCCAAGAAGGAGAAAGCCACACGTACCTTGGCAGGTAGGCTTTCTAAATGCTCTTTGTTCACTTCTTCATTCTCTGTGCCAATGGAATTGTTCCTCAGCCACACACTCTTAACTGCAAAACATTATTTAATGAGCAAGATGAACTGATCAGAAAATTGGGCTTCCTCCCATCAAGACCAGACGTGCATTTTGTACAAAAGCGTATTTCGTTCAATAGGCATGTTATCAAAAAGCTGCACTTACATTTTTTACAAATGAATCCTATTGTAGGCTTGACTTAAATTATAATTATATGTATGCTTAGAAGTGGTTGAAATCACAAGTTTCAGGTGATGTATATTTTACCACGATAAAAAGAAAAGAAAAACATACCCTTAAATATTGACTTGGAAGGAACACTATTTTGCTTTGTTGGAGAAAATGTCCATCTGTCTTATCACAAGCCAACTCAGACAAGCCTTATTAAGAATGGACAGCCTTTATTTCTAAGCCTGTAGTCTTCTCCTCACAGTCTGTACTGGGAAGGGGATTACAATTTGGTTGAAAATACATTCTTCTGAAAAAATAAAGGTGGCTAAAGGAGACATTGAACATCGCCCAAATCCTTTTTCACCTCTGATTTTCAAAATACTCAGTAGCTTGTTAAAGTCAGTGTCTAATCTACAGCTTCTGCTTTAGTAAGGGAAGGTGAATCCTGGGATATAGGGGTGGGGCGTTGTTTACCTGCTGGTGATAAGGGTGGTATGGGGCAGGGTTTCTCAATGTCAGACTGTGGACATTTGGGGGTGGCTCATTACTGCTTATGGGGGCTGTCCTGGGCACTGTAGGACATTTAGCACCATCCCTGGCCTCTACCCACAAGATACCAGTGGCACCCACCTTCCAGCTGTGACAGCCCAAAATGTCTCTGGACAGCACCAAATGTTTCCTAGGGGCCAAAATCACCCCCGGTTAAGAACTGGTAGAGAACTGTGTCAAAGCATGTAGCTAAAGCCACTTCATCCCTACAGGACGAACAGCGCAAAGCCTGCAGGGACCAGCAGCGTCATGGGACACCCAAATCTACAGCCACTTCTCTGGTGTACACCCTTCAGCTGATTAGAAGTAAAACCCTTGATTCGAGCCTCGGATTTGCCAAGAGAAATGGCCTGTGCAGTTCGCACAATGGGAAGCCTTCTCTGAGCTGAGACACCGCCTGTGCGAGAATGGGCGTTTTGTTATGTACCACACTGGCTGGAAGAGTGCCTGCTCCCCCAAATTCATGCCCACCCAGCACCTTAGAATGTGAGTGCGTTTGGAAATAGGATCTTTTTTGCAGGTAGAATTAGTTAAGATAAGGTCATGCTACAGAAAGTGGGCCCTGAATCCCATGGCTGTGCCTTTGTAAGCGTGGGCATGGAAAAAAGGGTTCCCCGCATGGAAAGTAACCTCACAGGTGAGCTGACGGTAAATTCCTAACTGGGCGGGTCGGGTCGTGGTGGGGCCTCACGCTCATGCCCCAGGCCTCTAACTTTTTCAGTAAAAGGCTTACCTTCCCCTCCAGCCAGCTCTGTGCATTGTTTCTGCCTCTAGGGTAACACACCTTAGAAATGCCCCCTTCAGGCCCCTCCTTCTAATGTGCGGGCCACCCTCAAGAGAGCACATGTGTTAACCATCCCGAACGTAATCCCATCCCTACCTTGCTTTTTCCCACCTCCTGTAATCTTCCTCAGGTCCCCTCCCTAGTCTCAAACGCACAAAAAAAAGAAACTGCAAAACTGATATTCTCTGGAACGTTTGAGGTCTTGCTCCCTGGCATATGTGGTCAGTTTGGCTCAAATAAAACTCATAAAAATTCTCCACAGCTTTCAACGTTGCTTACATCAACACCTCTGGACTTCCTACCAAGTCTCCGGCCTCATAAAGGTGAAAAATAGAAACGGAGAGTGGAGGCAAGGCCCTCCTTCCGGGAGGATGTCCCCTCAGTTCAGCCCACCCGAGTGCCCGCCCAAGACCACACCTGACTCTTTATCCACGGACTCGGCTTTCTGAGACCTAGTTTCTTCTTTCTCATCTTCCTTCTCAGAGGTAGCAGGCGTCCCGCCGTCTTCACAGCCACATAAATGGGAAAAAGAAAAGAAAAGAAAAGGTAATTGTTTCGCTACATGAGACACCCGGAATTACGGTTCTCCTCGGAGCAGACGGTCAGGATGTGGCGGGACACTAGCGCACATTAGCCAGCTGGAGGAGGTCAAGAACAGGAAGTGGCCCCGATTGACCCTGAAGCTGATCCTGCGCAGTCAGAGGCTCCCTCACCTTCCCCTGACCTTGGACTATCCGCTCCACCCACCAGCCCTGTGGGAGATGTTTTCAAGGACACAGCCTGTGGGCCACCGAGGTGAGATTGTTTGCAAGGTGACCGTGACTGACCCCCCGGAGGCCTCTCTATAAACTAAGATCCTGGCGGGCGGGTCCTTGTCTTGCAGCGCCCACAAAAAGACCCAGATGGAAGTTCCACCTGCCCCTCTGGAGTAGGAGGCCTCTCTTCTCCATCTCTAGCCGCCCTCCGTGTACAGAGGCCAGTTTGTGAACCAGCAGAGTCATACAGAAATATTCCGGATCCCGGAGACAGCCTCGCGGTGACATGAGAGGAAGGCTTGTGCAAAATCTCCAGGAGATGAAGGACGCGAGAATGATCGCACAGTTACAACCAGCCCAGAAGAAATAGAAATGACCAACACACATAACAAGAGAGGCTCAACTCCACTAATTATTAAAATGCAAATTGGAGGAAGGAAGTGCTTCCACCTTTCATCTACGGCATAAATTATAAAGATTGGCAATATCCAATGTTGGCAATGCTGCTGGCAAACAGGCACCTCATTACCCCCAGGTGTGGACTGGCCCGGTCCACGTGGAGAGCAGTTGGCCTATCCAAATTGTAAACGCACACACCTGCTAAACCAGCAATCCCACTTTTATAAATCTATCCCACAGAAATTTGGTGTACAAAAGTAGGTGTTCGTTGTTACATTGTTTGTGAGAAAAAATACAGTGGAAAGGTACATATCCATTAATTAGGGAATGGATAAATAAAATGTAGTACGTATATGTACTTAATATTTGTAAAATCAGGTAGATCTATAAGTATTGGCCTGAAAAATTCTCCAAGATATATTTGAGGGGGACAAGTCACAGAATAATATATCTAGCGTATGATCTTATTATTTTAGGAACTCTATATATAATCATTATATACATATTATATATAGAGAGAAAGACATATTGGGTTGTCGGAAACGTCATGACACATTTTTGCAATGAAAAACAGAAAAAGTACGCCATGGCTTTTCTGATAACCCAATAGATGACAGATAGATAGATAGATAGATAGATAGATAAGTAGATAGATACAGATTTGGAAAAGATCTGGCAGGATACATACCAAACTAACAACAGCGGTTACCTATAGGAATGGTAATAGGGCTTAAGGGACTGGGAAGGGTTGCTTTCTCACTTTGTACCTCACATAATTCTGTGCTGTGAATTTTAAAAAGGACATCTTTCCAGTAATACTTGTGCGAATTTTAAAAATTTAAGCAAGTTATTAAATGATCTGTACGATATGACTCCATTTGTTATTTTAAGAAACAATATACGCTAACCTATTAGAACAGCCTCCTAGGCTAGCTGCTGCTCAGGGAGATATCCCTCTTGCCTCACCCCCACCCTCATCAGCATCTATTTGTCTCCATTCATGTAATTTTTAACTGGGAGCAGAGAGGAGTCTTGACCAGGGGAGGGGCAGAAACAGGGAGAAAAGGACGAAACGACATGTGCTGGCCCTACTCCAGACCCTCTGGAGCCCCCATACAGGGTCTAATGAAACTGTCCAAGGGTCTTTGAGAACCTGTAGGCTCCGAAAGCAGAGGATGCATGACAATGTGACACACGGAGCTGGAGAGGAGGTCCCCTCTCCCCGCCGCTGTCCACAACTCAACACCCAGCGCCATTCTGGGCGCCTGCAGGACCTGCAGCTCTGCATATCCAGGGACAGCATCCTCAGCAGGAAGCACGCTGGCACTCTCAGGACGTGGTGACAGTGGCCAAGAGCCAGAAAAGGAGCGGAAGAACGGGGGAGAGTCGGAGGCAGCCCAGGAACAGGTCACGGCCTGAGGGAGATTTCCTCCTTTGGAGGGTCCAGGAATTAATAACCAGGAGGACCCTCTAGGGTGAGCCTGAAATCTGCTTTCACATAGAATAGGGACATCCAGCCAGGAGACACCGGGCTAAATATGCGAGCATACACAGCGCACAAAACAGCCACCTAACTGTTAACAGAAGCCCTCAGAGGTGGCAAGAAGCCCAAGTCATGCCCATTACTT